GTCTCTCAGCAAAAGTTGATTTCCAACTGGAGGATAGAATGGAAGATTTGGAAGGTCGATTCTTGTTTATTAGGGGAAAGCTGCAAGGAAAGGAATATACACTGGCTAACATATATTGCCCAAATAAAAATCCAGCGGGATTCCTGGAAGGGACTATAAGGAAACTGAGATTTAACTATTAGTAGCCAAACAATTTTTTTTTATGTTTTTTTTCTCTGGAATTCATTAAATTCATCATGCAACATGGAGATTAAATGGTATCAAACTGTACCATTATCACACGAGGGGGGTTAAAGATTAACATACTTAAGGGATTTCCCTTTACATTCCAATTTCAAAAGGACTTTACAGCTCAATTATGCTCAATTGCTCATGGGCATAAAATTTAAACTGTCATTTACTGAAGCTTTATTTGCAATACTTAAGTTACATTTGAAATTGATGGGCCTGTATTTTTAAACGTTGTAACTATAAAGGGGTGAAATGTCATGTTTACAAATTACTGACCCAAAGCAAGCATGGATCATGCTGCCCAGCACACTTGTTATGGAACAAGAAACTTGGTAATAAGTGATGCAAGAATAACTGTGACAATAAAATCGTCTGATGAACCCCAGACTGGATGAGAAGAATGGAGATTCATACTGGGCATAGTACCTAATTTCTCCAAAATTTGCAAGTCATTGATGAAAATGGGCAAATTTGTATCTTATGTTTATGCTATACATGAATGGGATTTAACACATTTGACAAAAGACTACATTCTAGTTTACAGCACATTTGACAGGACACAGGCCCACTGTCATTAAACCCCATTAGCAGGGTCCTTTAAACCAGACTATGTCAATATCTGTTGTAAACCTACATTGATTCAAAATTAGACCATAAAATGCTTTCCCGGTATCTGATTTCACAATACACATTTGCAAGTCTGGTTTTTAATATGTAAACCACCTGCGCTACCCAGATAGAATAAACTAAAATAAGGAAGCTACTATCACCTGGCTATAGACCTGCATAAATTGCAAATAATAAAGAAAAAATGGTGTTGCGCTCCCATACACAATAACTATATACTACATATACTCAAATGACATAATTGCATAAATATAATAAATCTCTAAAAAAAACTATATTGTGTGAGATATTAAACATCAATAATAAACAATCTCATGTGATAATGTGCAAGAATATACACACATATAAAACAAAAAAAATACACATCAAAAACTGAAGAAAATGATGAAACAATACACATGTGTCCCTTCATTAAGGGCAAAAGTGACATAGATCACAAAAAGAAAGAGTGATCAACATATGGCATAAAATATGCCTATAAAAGTGCCGTGAAAATGGACTCACAACTGGCGTGAATAATAACTATAGTGATATACGGTGAGACTGTCAGGATAAAACCCCGACTCAAGACAAGACTTTAGGACCACACAAAAGTACTTCCACATAAATGTGTGAGTCCATTTTCACGGCACTTTTGCAGGCAAATTTTATGTTTATTATATTTATTATGCAATTATCATGTCATTTGAGTGTATGTAGTATATAGTTATTGTGTATGGGAGCGCAACTCCATTTTTTCTTTATTATTTGCAAGTCTGGTTTTTAAACTACACAAAGTTAGGTTTTAAACAATAGCCATAATCGGTGCTTTGATGGAGCTACAATAACATGAAGTTGTTTTACACAAATATTTTAAAGAATAACAAATAGTTGAATACCAAACAGTTCTATGTTATAAGGTCCAGGAGGCAGATAAGACATATTACATCTCCTAAGGAGAATAAGCCTAAAATTATCATCAATGATATCATGTCGTCATTCTATTCAACAATACGTTGGTTGTCAGATTAAAACACTTAGTCACAGAGTTGGCAAGGTCAAATAAAGACACCAGTCCATCCAGTTCAGTCTGAGTGTATGTGTGTTCATGTGTGTGTGTGTTTATGTTACTACCACTTTCCATTTTTGAATTTATCTACATTATACACTGACACCACCAACTGTGGAAGGGAGTTCTACATCCTTAACACTCAAACAGTAAAGAACCCCTTATTGCAGCTGAAGAGTAAACTTCTTCTCATTCAACTTCATTGTGTGGCCATGTGTCTTCTTTAGAGACCTTAGATTAGTTTCCTAGCAATGCTAGAGTTCCATTCAAAGTTTTGTATATTGCGGTTATATCCCCTTTTAAGTGTCTCTTCTGCAGCGAATATACGTTTTAATGTTTGTAGTTATTTCTCATAAGTAAGGTCCTCCAGCTGCCTTGTTAGATTTGTTTCCCTTCTCTGTACTTTCTCCAGTTCAAGCACATTCTTTCTGAGGATCAGTGACCAAAACTGACTGGCATACTCAAGATATGGCCAAACAGAGTTTTGCAAAGTGGTAGAATTATATTTTTATCTGTGGAATAACACGTTCATCTGGAAATATTGATACAGATAGAAAAACTGGCATCAAGGAAATGTCTGCTGAAATAATGTAAATACTTCAGTACTCCTACATCACACTCCTCAACTCTCTTGTTCGGGTGAGGGATGGCTCAGTGACATCCTCTAGAGTAGGGCTGTCAAACACAAGTTCATTGTGGGCTGCATCAGCATTATGGTTGCCCTCAAAGGGCTGGTTGTATACAAAAAACTAGATGTCCACAGTACCCCACCCCTCCTTACATCAGATGTCAAGAGCCCTCCACCTTTAGAAATCATGAGTCTCCCACCCTCTCTTGGATCACAATGCACCCCCCTTACCCTGTGCTGCTGCTGGAAAGAAGCTGAAGTGAAATTGGGAAGCAGAAAGTGCAGGGTCTGGAGGAGTACCAGAGAAAGGCTGGAGCCTGCTGGATACTGAGACCAGGGCAAGTGGAGACAAGGGGATGCTGCGGCTACACAGAGAAGCACAGGATTTGCAGAAGCAGTTCTGTTCTACTCTGCTGCAATCTGCTGAAAAGGGGGGGGGCAGAGACAAGGTTGCATGGAGAAGTGCAGGTGGTGGAAGAGGGAGGTGCCATTGCTTCAAGAGAGGTACGAGGGCTACATGAAATGACCTGGTGGTTTGGATTCTGTCAGGGCAGGAGCTGTGGAATGGACAGGCAGGTCTAGTGGCAGGGTCACGCACTGACTGACAACAACCACCACCCACAGACCAGAGTCCCTCAGGGCGCGGAGTCTAAGTCCCAGGCTGCCCTTCACCAGGGCCCCTGATGGTGGGGATGGACTTGACGCAGCCAGGAACCAGGTCACGGCCCCCAAGACACCCCAGCTGTGGTAATGGCCGCCGCCAATGGCGTGTAGCTGGTATGAGCCAGATCAGACAATAGCGTAGTCGGGCAGGCCGGGTCGACAACAACGGGACAAACCGTACAGAACAGTAGACAAGAATAACAGGTCACAGGCCGGGTTCAGCAACGGGAGGTCAGATCAAAGGAAACCACAGGGAATGGTCTAGTCAAAGCCGAGTCAGATTCCAGGAGAGTCACGAGAGTATAAACAGAGCTGTTGCAACACTAACGCACAAGACACGAATGCAAAGAGCATGTGCGGACAACAGGCTTATATGTGATCAACCACACCCCTCTGGGGGATGGACTACAGAGGCCTGAAGGCATAAAAGACTCCCACCATGCTCTGCAGAAACCCATGATGGATGCCAGCACATGGAGCAGCATAACCTCTGGGAAAAGGTAGGACCTTGACAGATTCGGCCTGTGGGTCGTGTGTTCTAGAGGGTCCACAAAAGTTGCTGCAATTGGCAGCTCAGAGCTCTGGTTTCTATTGAACACCAAGTGTGTTGGCCTCCAGGAAAACTTTGATAAGTACTTTTCATTTTTGATCTCTTTTATTTTTTACTGTTATAAATGTCTATTTTGTCATACCTTTTTATGTAAAAATTTTTGTTGAACCAATTTTCTTTTCTTTCAAACAATGTTTAAAGATTGTTAAATTGATTCTCTAAATGCTCTAAATAAGAAATGAAAGAATCCTTGCTTCTTTGAAAAGTTTTAAAACTCTGTTACCCTCTCTGGCGTGGTAATGATTTTCACAGCCATTTGTTAAGGCCGAAGTTGTTTTAGCAGTTGCTAGGAACCATGATTTATTTCCTTTAAAACATGCAGTGTTTGTATGTGAAGGGTTAACTGCAGAGATAACCACCCTTGAGAGGATCGATTGATCGCTCTGTCAGTTGGCACCAAAATCGATGGCTTATGAGCTGGGAAGTCATAAACACCATTCAGGAAGATGAGCCTTTACAACTTATTAACAAATATAGTTCTGATATGTCGCAATACTTCATAAAATCCTTTTGTATTTTGTTGTTAAGTTGGCAACACACGGTTAAAATTTATACACCAAAAACCAGCTCTGCAAGAATGATTTATAAGCTAAATACACACTAAACAACCATATGTTCTTACATTAGTACACCCACACTTGTGAGCTTTACATAAAGCGGAACTGCACTGCATCTGAGCACCACAAACCAAAAACGCTGTTTAATTTATTTTAAATATGCATATGCAATGCAAACTCCTCCATCCATTCATGTCTCCATGCTTTATTTTGCTGAGAAATCACTTTGAAAAACCCCCCCTAGCATGTCTAGCCTTGGCCATATTGAGTAGAGGCAGATGATTCATGTTGCATTTAATTTCTGGAATCCAATAGCCCTTAGCTCAGGCAGCAGGCAGGAGGGTGTACTTATCTGAGAAAGCCCCTCCTACCCTACTGAAGACTCCTGAGATGTATGTCATTACTTGCCTAGGCATGGAAGCAAGAAAGTGACTGAAGAAATGTAAAATAAAAAAGTTAAAACAAGTAAATATTATATATTTTTCTATCTATTTACTAATGATAACAGTATAAGGATTAAAAATAATCAATGTTGATTGAGAGTGTGAAGTTCCACTTTAAGTGTGTACTCCAGAAAGGATAACTCTTACATCATTTTGGAACATGCACACTTAGGCCCAATTCACACCTGAGCAGGGGAGGACTGACAACTCATGGGGCCCCCGGGCAATAGGGGATCATGGGGCCCCTGTGTCCTTGCCCAAACTCAAAAAAGCCTAAGAAAAAGGTATCAGGGGCATCTCATGGGGCCCCCTACTGACCCCGGGCCCTCGGGCAGTGCCTGAGTTTCCAAATGGTCATTTTGTAGCCCAAAGCTGCAAAGAGCTCAGAAAGTCACTACCCATCTATTTAACCACCTGCCTACTGTGCACTTTTACCCCTTAGTGCCCAGGCCAATTTTCAGCTTTCAGTGCTGTTGTACTTTGAATGACAACTGCGCGGTCATGCAACACTGTACTGAAATGAAAATTTTGTAATTTGTTTCACACAAATAGAGCTTTGCTTTGGTGGTATTTAATTGCCACTGGGTTTTTATTTTTTGCTCTATAAACAAAAAAAAAGAGCAAAAAATTTGAGACAAAAAAAAGTTTTTCTTCGTTTTCATTATAAAATTTTGCAAACAGGTACTTTTTATACTTTACTGATGTGCGTTGATGAGTCTGTACTGATAGGCAGCACTGATGGGCACTGATGAAGGAGCACTGATAGGCAGTAATGATGGGCACTGATAGGCAGCACTGATGGGCACTGATCAGGCGGCACTGATAGGCAGCACTGATAGGCTGCATTGATGAGGTGGCACTGATGAAGCGGCACTAGTGGGCATTGATGAGGAGGCACTGATGATGCTGAACTGATATGCAGCAATGATGGGCACTGATAGGCGGCACTGATGGGCACTGATAGGCAGCACTGATGGGTAGCACTGCTGGGCAGCACTGAGGGGTGGCATTGCTGGGCACTGATGGGCACCACTGATCAGGGCTCTCATAAGTGCCCTGATTATCAGTGCCGATCTGCTCTGTGACATTTGCCGGTTATCGGTAGTACTTTCCTCACGCTGTGACAGAAACTGTATTTACTTTGTGATCATTTGTGTCATTGGACACAGCTGATCACGTGGTAAAAGGCTGCTGTGATTGGGCTTTTACCTAGTCATTTGATCAGCTGTGTCCATAGGACACAGCGATCATGGAGATCGCTGGTTGTGCACCGCTGGGGGCACAAGGGGTGTGTTCTGGGATGACTTCATATGGCACCCTCCCAGAACTGGACAACCGCACTGTAGCCATCTTTCAGCTATAGGGCATTGTAAAGTGGTTAAATGATTCCTGTTCACATCTGAGTGCTTTGTTGCCTGTAGTCACTGAAAAAAAATACATGAGCTTCTTTCATCAGATTGCAGGAGGATTAGAGGCTGTTTGGAGTGTTTTTAGCCCCATAGACTTCAATGGGAACGCCTGAAAATGCATGACATGAGCACTTTACAAGCATTTGATGAGCGTTTTGTTGCACATTTTCTGGTCAAACAGCAACTCTCCACCCTTAATCCAAAATGAAAAAAAATCTGTTACTGTAACTGCTTAAATGTGTTAGTTCGAGTTCAGATTCGATTTGTTAGTCAACTCCATTTATATCTGCTAGGACATCCAACACTGCCCTCCCCATGGATTGACAATGTTTATCTCTTAATGGGATAAACAACCTAAGACAGGAAGTGTGCCATTGCCTGGATGACCAGGTGAAAATAAAGGGAAAAAGACCCTAAAAAAGAGAACTAATGTAGCCACCACATCCAAGGAATCATGAGCTGCAATATATTAAATGTTCATTTTTGGATTTAATACAGCTTTAAGCAGAATTATAAATTATATGGTGGGTGAAACAGTTCTTATGTTTTGTATCTCAGCTGCATATTTAACATTTTTCCTGAAGTGCTGCTTTATTAGGTCACTGAGCTTTACACGTGCCATGCAAACCACAAGATCCTCATGTTAGGTGTACATCCCGCAGGTTTGACCACAGAAAGTGCTGCATCTGCTTTCTATAGTCAACAGTAGTAAAACCGTATGACTCAGAGCACCTCGGTGTGAGTTAGATATCCAGAGGCATTAGGAGACCCTCCTACAATGCGCTATGCATAAATGGAGCAGTACATTTTTCTTCCCATGCCTCAGGCATGCTCTTGTATGGAATGTGTCAGTTTTCAAGCACTGAAGATTTAATGTCTCGGTTCAAATAGTTACTTTTGCGTTTTAAGTATTTTAAATTAAAAAAAAAAACTGTTTTTATAAAATGCTAAGTTTACACTTTTTATAATTTATCAATTTTCACTTTAAACTCAAGTGGTCCTTTTTCAGTTTTCTAACCACGGTCTATTATCTGTGCATTTTTCATGATTTTAATTAGGTGTGTCGTCAGTGAAAAAAGCAGGTAAAATAGAAAAAGCAAGTAGTTCACATGCTCACTCGCACCATTTTTCCTTTCCATAAACAATTAGTTATTGACTTGCAATGTGCCAGTGAGTGCTAGCAAATCTGGTTCAGAATAGCCAATTCCCTAGTACATGCTCATTTTCGGAGAAAATATAATTACTATCTGTGCAGGCCAAATTCATCTGCTGTTGACCTCACCTCCTTACATGATATTTTATGTAGCTGCTTGAGCACTAATCTGCATGCTTACCTGCTAAGCATAAATTCCCCCTCCTCCCAGTACAAATCTGCACCCTGCTGAAAACCCCTTCTCAGCACAAATCCACACCCTGCTGAAATCCCCTTCTCAGCACAAATCTCTGCCCCCAACCCCCCAGCACAAATCCACTCCCCCTCAAGAAAAAATTCCCTCTTCCTAGTACAAATCCTCTACCACTCAAATTTCCCCTCTCAGCACACATCTTTTCCCCCCCCTCCCAGCACAAATTCTCCCCAATCCCCCATCCTAGCATAAATCCCTTCCAAATTTCCCCTCATAGCACAAATACCCCCAATCATCCCTGCTAGCGCAAATCACCCCCCCAAAAAAATTTTTCCTCCTAGCACAAATCCCCTTCCCCTATCATACTACCTTTTCTAGAACACCATCCCCCAAAGTTGCCCCTTGCCCCCTCCCAACACAAATCCCCTCAAATCACCACTCCTTCCCAGATTTCCCCTCCTAGAACAATTCTTATCCCCTGTCACCCCCAAATTCCCCCTCCCAGCTGCCGTGGTAACAAATTGAAGCCAAACTCCAGCTAACACTTTATATGCAGTTATAGAAAACATTTTTTTTTTTTCCTTTTTGGGATAAAGGTTTTACATAAGTAAGAAAAAAAGCTGATTACTGTAAGCACCCCCGTCAGTGGTAAATGGTTTGTCTCAACCCAGTAACTGATTCATTCTGCTAGAGAGCTTGTTCTTTTGAAAAATAACATACTAGCAGGAAAAAATACTGGAAAAAGTTAAAATGCCTAAAAAAGAAAAAAAATTAACCATTTTTTGGTGTAGGGTAAGCTGCAATATATTAAAAGTTTACCTTTGGGTTTAATACAATTTTAAGGCAGGAGTAATGGCATTAAATGTAATGGCAATAGCATTAAAGGCAAATTTTAATGAAAATTCCAGATTTAAAAATAATAATTACTTTAAAATGTTAAAACATATATGATTTTAACTTAATATTTACCAATCTCTTGAAAAAGAAATGTGTAGTCTTCTTATTTTTTTAGATATTTATGCAAAACTGATCCGATTATTGCATATAATCTAATATTTGCTTGCTTATCGTAGTTAAAAAAACCCGTTTCCTTGTAGAAGTTGCAATGATACATGCTCACTTGGCAGCCATATTACATTTGAAGGCCTTGCTTTGCAAAGCCACATTTGGACGGCTTTATTTCTTCTTACAATGTAAGCCTGGGAGTCGGCTAACTCATTTAAGATAATGCATGTCCTCTGTGACTCATAATCTGTCTTGATAATTGCTGAGACTTGATGATACTTTGGAAATAACGGCTGTTATGTATGTACTGTAAATGTATTTTTTGAAGGGACTACATCTGGTCATGGAGCTTGTGGCATGGGGCTTGTGCACACTTGCTCTTTCTTGGTGCAGTTCACATAAAGCTATTCTCAGCAGTATAACGTATTCAACGACTTTGGAAAACTGCTGCAAACTTAGAATTATCATACAATCAATTCAAGCCTGTCTCTGCACTACAGTTTTCTGCATCATGCATTTCATAGAAATGACTAATAATGCAGTAAATAGCACATGTAGCATTTTTAGAACTGTGCAATAGCTGGCCCTAAGTTTCTCTCTTGAGAGGTTTTTTTATTTTAGATTTTGGCTGTCCTTCTAAAAATGTTTTGTTACCTTGGTGGCAAACTAAAACTTCTATGTTGATTGGAACTAAAGAAGTGGATTTTTGTAAATACCTGATGGTAGAGAAGTGGATCTTTGTCAAGACTTGATTGGAGAATGAGTGGATCTCTGTGAAGAACTGACTGGGGACACAGGAGTGGATCTATGTCAAGAACTGATGGAGATAGAGGAGTGAGTTTTGGACCATTGGAGACTGAAGATTGAAAAGTGGGTCTGTTTTCAGAGCTGACTAAAGACAGAAAAGTGTATCTTTGCCCAGAGCTGATTGAAGATAAAAGAGTCGGTCTTTGTCTACATTTGACTAAGATATCAAAGAGGATACTTGTTCACAACAGATGGGAAATAGAGGATTGGATATTTGTTTAGAACCAGGGGCGGACTGACAACTCATGGGGCCCCCAGGCATTAGGGGATCATGGGGCCCCTGTGTCCTTGCCCAAACTCAAAAAAGTCTGAGGTACCAGGGGCATCTCATGGGACCCCCTACTGACTCCGGGCCCTCGGTCAGTGCCCGAGTTTCCAAATGGTCTGTCCGCCCCTGTTTAGAATGGACTTGAAATAGATGATTGGATTATTTCCCAGAACTGATTTGAAGATACAAGAATAGATCTTTGTCCAGAACTGATCGGGTAACCATAACTACAACCATTTGTGGGCGAGGATTCATCCTGGGTGGACCAGACAATGATAAAAGCAAATCAAAAGATGTGCCGAGATTGTACTCTTTATTTACCACCCAAAAAATGATTTACTGTAGTCTCTCAAATATTAATTTAGCCTCATAATGATACACCTCTAACTACTCTAAAACCACATGACTCTACAACAACATTGTTCTCCTCTTTCACTTTTTAATTTTCTAGCTGTCCAATTTCTCACACATTTTTTTTCTAGTCAGAAGTTATTTAGAACACTTTGTTCTTTTCTTTTTTTTTG